TTGTGAAAACGAATTAAAGTGTTCAAAGTTTCATGTGATTATTAGATATTCTAGTATACTCTCACGTTTATTATCACACTAAAATTATTTTTAAAATTGATAATTGTTATTTTTGTGACGACCTGTACGGCATGTAGATATAGACCTAGATCAAAAATTATAAGCAGAATATTCTATAGGAATTGATTGAACCGAACACTAAAACATTAAATTTATTTTTCTTTTAAAAACTAATTATCATAGCTATTGACAACTTTTAAAAATACAAACTAATGGCTTATTTTTACAATTATTATTTAATTTAGTATTTATCATGAATCATTTAATATTTATACGGAATGTTTTGAATTTTAATATGTAGCTAGCACATTATTCTAATTCATACACAAACAATATACGGTACAAATTGTGAGCAAAACAAATTAGGGATTTATTTGGCATAACGTTGTATACGAATGGCGCCAAAAGTCATGCCTTTCTGTTTTGCAGACTGTTTTGAAAGACATTTAAAAATTTAAATCACATTTAAATTGAAACTCAATTCACATTTCTTGGACCACATCTCAACCGATTATCATATGATCTAATGTCAGATAAAGAGGACATCGAGGAGAAGGCCACCCAAGAGGCGGTGGATGTGTTGGTGGACGACAAGCCCGCCGAAGAGGCGGAGGAATCGGATGAACCAAATGTTACGTTTAAATCGCTGGTCAGTTGTCTGAGCACTGGATCCGATTGTATGCATTGATAACTAATGGCAATGAATGGTATGTTTAGGGCGTGACGGAAGTGTTGTGCGAGTCGTGTGAAGCACTCAAATGGTATAAACCGACCAAAATTCAGGTCCAATCCATTCCTGTTGGCCTCGAAGGTAAGGCTATATCTGAAGAGTTATCTTATGGTCAGATGTGTATTAATGTTGCGATTAATGGACTGAAAGGTCGAGATATCATAGGTTTGGCGGAAACGGGTTCGGGAAAGACGGGCGCCTTCGCTATACCTATACTACAGGCGCTCTTAGAAACGCCTCAAAAGCTGTTTGCCTTGATTTTGACGCCGACCCGAGAGCTGGCCTTTCAGATCAGCGAACAGTTGATGGCTTTGGGCTCCAGTTTTGGCCTGAAATGCGGTAATT